GGTCTTGCGGAAACTGAGATGAAAGATGAAGAACAATCGTGCGCATGTCTGCACTAAAGGAACAGGAACAAATTGAAGGATTGGTAACCTGCTTATTGGTAGGCCCAAATCGATGTGCACCGAAACCACCGAAGTGAAAAGATGCCCATCACATCTGGATACGGGTGTGACCTAAAGGAAAACAAGGATGGAAAGGTAAATACATTTAGAAGCCACCAACAAGATCCAGCAGGCACACTTTTGGCTCAGAAGACCTCGTGTCAGCTATCTGCCTGCCAAGGTATTTAGAGCCCATGAGTAAATACAAAGGAGTTGAAACGAAGGCTAACGGCTGGAGAACGCAATATCACGATTAAATATGTCAAGGGTAGACCATCCATTGTCAATGTTGTTGCACAGCAATCTTCTTATCAAAAAACTGCTAACCGAGGTGTCGGTGTGCTACACAAACATTCAGTCACTGGTCTCTAAACTTCTCGAAGTGCAAGCATTTGTTGATGGAACCAAACCTTCGTTTCTTTGTCTGACAGAAACCTGGCTCAGCCCTAATATACCTGACTATGTTGTTAATTTGCCTGGTTACTGTTTGTATAGGGAAGATTCCCCTCGCACGCCGGGGTATTGTGGGGTCTGTGTTTATGTACGTACCGAATTCGCTGACAATTTCACAATAACTACTACCTCCAAGAGCTTCGATGGTATCGACAGTCTCTTTTTGGAACTAACACGGCCAAACTTCAGTTTTGTATTAGCCTGTATCTACAGACCGCGTCCCTGTGCTGGTGATGTTTATTTGTGTAAATTCATCGAAGAACTTCTAACCAAGAATTCAAACATTCTGTTAACTGGTGATTTCAACTTACGTGACATCAGCTGGCCCATGACAACATTACCAGAATGCAACTCTCCTTCTGCCCCTTATATTGATTTAATGCGTAAGTCGAACATCCTCCAACTCGTAGATCATCCGACGAGATTCAGAGAAGGCCATACTCCCAGAACTCTCGACCTGATATTTGTAAATGATCCTGACTTTGTTTCCAGTCTAGACTACCTACCTCCTTTTGGCAAGTCGGATCACTGTACCTTATTGACCTCACTTCAATTTTATGTACAAACTCCATCACGTAGACATTTCAAAACTGTGAAGCTATTAAACTACAGTGCTCTCAATCGAGCATTGTCTGAAATAAACTGGTCCAACCTGCTTGCACAACGTAGCACTGAAGATATGTGGGATATATTCTCTCGTCGAATCCAACTGGAAGTCACTAGGCATACGACCACAAAGAAGATATTCAGTCACCCAAGAAAGCCTTGGATTAACCATAACCTCTCAAGGATGTTGAGGCATAAAAAAGCGTTATGGCAAAGATTCCAAAGAAGTAGACTACAACAGGATTATGTATCTCATCGATCTTTCTCTAACATCCTTTCGAAGAACTTGAAAAACGCCAAGCGCAATTATGAGCAAAATCTTGTATCATCGAAAGATAAGAAGAGGTTGTTTAGATACTTGAGATCCACCCTGAACTCTAAGGTTTCTTCCCCACAAATCCGTGATCCCAATGGCCACCTACATACTGATGCCGAAAAATCTGCCAATCTTCTTGCCGATGCTTTCAGTGAAGACTTTGTGAATGAACCTGATGGTGATGGTACTCTTCCGAACTTATCCAGCCCTCATAGATGCCTAGCGACCATAGCATAGATTTTCAACCTCAGGACATTGAGAGGCACCTTACTAAACTGAAAACTTGTTCGTCCCCTGGAAAGGATGGGATAACTTCTGCCGTTATGAAGTCCTGTGCCTCAGCTCTCGCATACCCCCTGTGCATTATATTCAACTCCTCGATTCAAAATCACATCCTTCCTTCCTGTTGGCGTACTGCATCTGTGACACCTATATACAAAAAAGAAGATAAAACATCTGCGAAAAACTACCGTCCTATCAGTCTTGTGCCTATAGCTGCGAAAATAGCCGAAAAGATCGTCCAGGAACAACTTATGACATTTGCGTTCAAGAACAACCTGCTGCCTAGCAACCAACATGGTTTTATTCCTGGTAGATCAATTATCACCAACATGTTACACTGCATTGACAATTGGACCAGATCTTTAGACGCAAATGAACCGGTCGACGTGGTTTTTCTGGATTTTTCCAGAGCTTTCGATCGAGTTCCGCATAAAAGGCTCCTGCACAAGCTTGAACATCTCGGAATCAGGGGAAATTTGTTGTTCTGGATTGAAGCTTTTTTGTTAGACAGATCTTTCTCCGTCCGTGTTGGAGACGCCTATTCTTCTAGTCATCGTGTTACTAGTGGAGTTCCACAAGGATCTGTGCTAGGGCCAATACTTTTTCTTCTTTATACAAGCGACCTTCCCACCCGACTTTATTCTATGTGTTCCATCTATGCAGATGATACTAAAGTCTATAATACTGTCATGAACTCATCTGTGCTTCAAGAAGACCTCAAGCTGATCAGAAAGTGGTCAGAACTCTGGCTCCTGCCTTTAAATCTATCGAAATGCTACGTTCTCCACCTGGGAAAGAATAATCCTAACTTAACATATAAGATTGGCAAACATACCTTAGAGTCTGTTCTTCATCACACAGATCTTGGTCTGACAGTTAATGGCCGGCTCACCTGGTCGGAGCACATTCAGAACATAACCTCTAAGGCAAAGCGGTTGCTATATATGATGGAAAGGTCATTTAGCGGTTGCACCGTTAGTACCTCCTCCTTTTTATACACAACTTTCGTACGACCCCTACTGGAGTTTGCTGGTCCGGTATGGGATTCAAACCTTGTTCGCGATAGCAGCTTATTAGAGGCCGTTCAGCGTCGTGCAACACGTATGCCATATGGCACACGTAGGCCAAGTTATGAAGACCGCCTCGAGCTATATAACCTGCCTGCTTTTGCTGATAGAAGAGTACGAGGAGATCTCATCATCACTTTCAGAGCACTGCATAATTTGTTTGGTGTGGACATGTCGCATCTGTTTCGTCTGGCAACGAACAGTCTCAGAGGCCATAACTTCAAATTGCAGAAGGAAGCTTTTAGAACCTCTACTCGTCAGCGCTTCATCTCAAACCGTGTCTTCGATGCATGGAACAGTCTTCCATCTTATGTAGTGAACTCGGAATCCGTCAACAGTTTCAAAAACAATTACGATAGACACCGCAGTGCTTAACATATTGTTCCCATTCTGTATATGTCTACTTCAGTAGTGCTAAGATTGTCAAATTGTTATATTTCTTTTGTCTGTACACTATTATCTATTTTTGTGTTTGAGTTTATAGTACTTGTACTCAACTCAAATTTGTTGTTTAATAATAATAATAATAATAATAAAGCAAGACAAGTAGTCTTGGATGAAAAACAAAAAACTATTGTGAGCATGTCCGCAATAAAGGAACATGAGCAGAAAAAGAAGGATTGGTAATCCGAGCGACGGATGTTTCTGCTTATTGGTTTTCCCAGGCCAAGATCGATTTGCATCAAAAAAATAGTAGCGACGCCCCTTACAGTTTTACAATACAATGTGAAGTTTTCACAATACAACTTTAATATATCACAGAAACAGTCCACTATATTTAAGGCAATATTGCTTGAATCATCACGGAGTCGCATCACGGGTTTTTTGTCTAGATTAAAACTGTGATTTCAGATTTATAGTGCCGGAAAGACTACTCCATACCTCCTCAAAGGTCACGGCGTATAGATCTTTTAAAAATACGCAGTTTTTTCTAGTGACATATAACCAAAGTCTTAAGATTACCGGACCCGCAAAATCAGTCAAACCTATGCAAAACCTAATCAGGTCCTGCACCTCGATCAGATCAAACATGAACACGTACAATGGGGATCAATACACAATTCAGGCGCTGTCCGCGTTTGTAAACAAAACAGTTACACATCGGATCTAAAAAAGCAAAACAAAAATACAGCAATATCGGAGTTGCACATATTAGTTTAATTTACCGTGAGTGTTTCCAAAATGCTACCGAGGCTTTGCGAGTGCATGCAGATCGTTGTTCAAGACCCTTCGTAATCTCTTTTTTTTGGGGAGGGGGGGTGTTTAGTGTATAAGACTGAGGTCAACACGGTTGACGAACTAAGTGTGCGAATTTAGTAATCTGATGTATCCATTCGGAAAGGACAGTCCATTCTAAAAGCCTGCGACAATGCTTGTCTATGTGGAGGACATACATGTGTATATGAATCTATCGCAGATAACTTTGAACAACACTTACCCGTGACAGATCTGTACTTTCTTTTCGATGAACGGTGAGTAACTTTTCATTTACTTTTTTTACTTTTTTGAGGTTGTTCTACCTCACATTAGCTTTATTATGATAAAAGTAGTTGTTCCTGAAAGGGAAATTCTTAACTTTCAGGATACCCTGTGTATGTTGAGATTAACAAATTCAGTCTAGGTGGAAGCGGCAAGCCTACCATTTGTTTGATTCCAAAATCTTAGTCAGTAGTCAGGTTGAAAGCGCATACTGCAGACGGACTTGACATGTGTTAATTATTTGTAAATTCTGTCGTTAAATTCGTATGTCTAGTGTTATTTTTTGAAAGTAGGAGCGTTTTCAGATAGTTGTGAAATTATACGATTCTAGGACATGGTACTTCTTGCACAAATCACATAGAGCGAACAAACTTAAAGAAGTGAGATCTTTCCACCGGTAAATATTATTTTTATGTTAGTACAAGGCTGTCACCTTACTAGGTAATAGTAGTCGAATGAGTCAAAAGTATGTACTGAAATTACGGAATTTTGGTGAAAATTTATACATCATGTATAGGCTTGGCTCTTAATCTATTCGACTTCACTGGTTGATACCTACTATGCTGAAATGTATTATATACTTCGACAATGTACTTCTACCTTAATGATATTCTCAAAATGTTATGGATTGACAAATAACTCCGTTTGCATTTGATCAGTTAGATAAAGACAATGAACAAGATATAAGTCGTACTCACCTAGCCTCTTGGAAATCTCAGAATTATGCATCTTCGGGTTCTCCTGTGCGATCTTTCTCCTCTGCAGCCTCGACCACACCATGAACGCGTTCATGGGTCTCTTGATGTGGTCGTCCTGTTTCTTGCCGGATTGCGCGGCCGCGGCAGCTGCAGCAGCCGCCGCCTGTCCTGCAGCTGCAGCGGCGGCCGCAGCCTGGAGACCACCGGGCATCGCCAGGCCGGCCATACGCGACAGGCCGTCAACGGCACTGCTGCCGCCCCCCGAACCGCCCCCGCTGGCAACGGTACCGCCACCGCCGAAGGTCGGGTCGCACATCCCGCCAACCGACCTAGAAAACAATAGAAGCTTAGATAGAATTCCCCAGATCTGCTGCTTTGCGGGCATTCTAACAGCTTATTTAAGAGTATACTCGAACATTCGGGCAAATACGAGGGCCTCGCTATAGATTTTGAGATACACGAAAACTAAAAACTATTTTTCGGAAACTAGTTTATTTATTTTTTCCAGGTGCTGAAATAAATTATAATAAGCTTTTAAAACAAGAAATAGTTGTAATTGAACGCTGTTTCGGCCAACTGAAATGCCGGTTTCCTATCCTACAGTATGTTTGCCGCGTAAAAATGTGAAGAAAATAATGGTTGCTTGTATTGTACTCCATAATATTGCGAACAGCTTGGGCGATCCTTCTTTGAGTTTGTTAAACAAGACCCAGATGAAGATGAAGGAAATCGTAAGAATGACGAGCTTCCTCTCCCCAACTAGGTCAACAAATAAGAAGAAACTTGAGTATTATAATAAATAGTTTTACTGATTAAAGTGTATTTATAAGTTATAATGAGTTTTATTTTCGTGAACATCATAAGTTACAGGTGGCTTCTGACGCTGCATCATTTCTAATTTCATTATATAATACTCTTGTTGTAAAATACTTGTTTGGTAATGCTGTAATAACACCAGACGTTGCAGTTCTTTTGTAGTTAACCCTTTGGTTTCCTGAGTTTCGTATTTCTCTGTTGCTAATTTTGTTTTTGGTGGCAATGTATTGATGAATTGCTGGAGCTATAATACTATTCCTTCCTTCTTCTTAAACACTACCAACCTGAATGGCACCTCTAATTTTCCCAATTGTAAGATTACAGTAACCTTCCATAGCTTTCAGCAACTTTCATTCCCAATCTAACAATTTAATTGCTTTATTACCAGTTTTTTTTAGATCCGCTTTTTTCTTCAATCTTGATTTCATGTTGTTGATTTTTTTAATATGTCTTTAGTATCTAATGGTTTACCGAATGTTGATATGTATTTTTTCAACATCTTCTTCAAGACATCGTCCTTTCTCATTTTTATTTTTGGAACTTGTTACTTTTGCAAAATAATGGGAGCAATGGCAATTTCATCTGCGATGAACTACAGGTCGTTGCCATTATTTTCTATGGTTTCCTCATTACTTCAGGATGACATTCTTATTAGTTTGATAAAAAACTGTATCCAGTAAAAATACGGAACGGTCTGTGTAAGCTCTGGAGTACAACTGTCAGTGATGCTGAGTGAACTCCCACGTCAACTACAAGCTGGAACAAGTCAGAACATGTCGCTCAAGATACAAATAACAGTCAACCTTTTACTTCTTCTTGGAGGATATCCTCGCGAGTATAAGGTAATCATTTTGAATGTGAAAACAAGGATATGCTTATACGAGTACTTCTACCTCTTTCTCCAAAGCATGACCTTATACTTTTACCTTATGCTTCCAAGGATATGCTTCTCTTTTATGAATTCGGCTCAATAGATGCATCCACCAACTTAATAGAAAAACCTGACCACTTTATCACTTGTTGTTCATGGCAAGATAAATCGATATGCAAGAAATTCTTGAATTCTAATAAACATACGTAGGTGTTTCCTTTATTTGTCACCCAGTATATTTTCATAAATTACCTAACTTGAAAATGAAATTACTTGAAAGGTTAATCTTTGACTTGATCTTTGTATTGAGCCGTATTCATAAAAGGGAAGCATATCCTCGGAAGCATAAGGTAAAAGTATAAGGAGAAAAAGGTAGAAGTATAAGCATATCCTTTTCATATTCATAATGATTACCTTATACTTGCGAGGATATCCTCCAAGAAGAAGTAAAAGGTTGACTGGTATTTGAATCTTGAGCGACATGTCCTGACTTGTTCCAGCTTGTAGTTGACGTGGGAGTTCGTTCACTCAGCATCACTGACAGTGGTACTCCAGAGCTTACAGAGACCGTTCCGTATTTTTACTGGATACAGTTTTTTATCAAATTAATAAGCATGTCATTCTCAAGTGATGAGGATACTATAGAAAATAATGGCAACGACCTGCCGTTCATCGCAGATGAAATTGCCATTGCTCCCATTATTTTGCAAAAGTCACAAGTTCTAATAGTAAAAATGAGAAAAGACGATGCCTTGAAGAAGATGTTGAAAAAATACGAATCAACATTCGGTAAACCATTAGATACTAAAGACATATTAAAAAAAATCATCAGCATGAAATCAAGATTGAAGAAGAAAGCGGATCTAAAAAAAAACTGGTAATAAAGCAATTAAATTGTTAGATTGGGAAAGAAAGTAGCTGAAAGCTATGGAAGGTGTCTGTAATCCTACAATTCGGAAAATTAGAGGTGCCATTCAGGTTGGTAGTGTTCAAGAAGAAGGAAGTGAACTATATACCGAGCGCAGTGAGCAAACAGTTAGTATTACAGCGCCAGCAGTTCAGAAGACATTGCCACCAAAAAGAAAATTAGCATCCGAGAAATACGAAACTGAAGAAACCAAGGGGTTAACTACAAAAGAACTGCAACGTCTAGTATAATTACAGCAGTACCAAACAAGTATTTCACAACAAGAAGATTATAAAACGAAATTAGAAATGATGCAGCATCAGAAGCCACCTGTAACTTATGATGTTCACGAAAATAAAACTTATTATAACTTATAAATATACGTACACTTTAATCAGTAAAACTATTTATTAAAATACTCAAGTCTCTTCTTATTTGTTCACCTAGATGGCGGAGAGGAAGTTCGTCATTTTCATGATTTCCTTCATCTTCATCTGAATCTTGTTCAACTAACTCAAAGTCAGGATCACCCAAGCACTTCGCAACATTATGGAGTACAATACAAGAAATAATTATTTTCGGCACATTTTCCAACTTTACACGGCAAACATACTGTAGGATAGGAAACCGGCGTTTCAGTTGGCAGAAACAGCGTTCAATTATAACTTGTTTCAAAAGCTTATTATAATTCATTTCTGCACCAGGAGTAGGATGTCTGAAGGGAGTCGTAAGGCGTGGCTCAATACCATAACCGTCATCGCCAAGTAGTACAACATTTGCTTTATTTATTAGTTGTGATCTAGTCTGTGAATTTCTCCATATTCTGGAATAATGCACTGATCCAGGCCAACTGACATCAACACTTGTGAACATCTCTCTGGCATCACAAGTGGTTTGCACATTTAAAGTAGGTTTCCCTTTTCAGTTGATATACTCATATCCATGGCGATTTGGTTTCAGGATTCCTATATGTGGATAATCAATTACACCAATTGCTGTCGGAAATTTATACATGCTTTGCCATATCCGCTTGGCCTCCATCAGTTCATGGTTGGTAGTTGGTAACTTGATCCATTCGTTCGACTGTGCAACTATGATGTTCACAATTCTATCCACAGCCCGAGATACCGTTGCTTGACTAACACCAAGCTCCTGACCAATACCTTATTGATATCCAGCGTCACCGAGATAGCGTAGTCATATCTTTATTTTATGAATACATGAAAGTGCTACTCCTCGAGTTTCCTCATTCTCAACTAAAAATCTGTCCGCAAGCCATTGTACATTTGCTTCGTCGGACCGATATAATTTTTTGAAGTCACGACCAAGTGAAGGTAAACGAGGTTTGTACGTTTTAACATCCCTAACATCCACAATTTCCGCCATCATCGTTTGACCACCTTTCGTTACGAAGTTGAGTCTGCTACTGACCACACTCAGAATTTTTGAAGGATATGCTTCATATGCCAAGTATAAGGTGAAGATTATGAATATCCTTTTACTTATGTTACTGCTTTGAAGGATATGCTTATACTCAAAAAGCAAAAGCATTTACTTTAAATTATTATAAATACCATCTGGAGGATTTCCTTCAAAATTTGCAAGTACAAGGATATCCTTTATTTGACGAATACGGCTCATTGTTCTACTTGACTAGAGGTCAAGCATTTTCAAACTACTTGATACTTGATAGCAAATTATATTGTTGATCTACTAAAGACCTCTGGTGATATTTATTTGCACAACCGGTGGGCACTGTTTTGTATTTATAGGTATTATAGTCACGTAGAAAATTGGTAAATGGTGTCGGTAAATTCAAGGACAAAATCGGCAGGAAGAAAAACTCAGGGCCGGCGTAAGATCATCGGCGTATCAAGAGCTTTTGGGCCACAAAGGGTCATCTATGAAAAGTATATTTTCGTATAGCGCGGGCACACGACACAGATACACAGGATTTGTATAAATTTAAAAGCAAATTGTAATTAAATCTCTTCCAACAAAAAAATAACATTTCAACAACTAATGTTACATGTTTTTTACAAGAACAAAATGTAATGTCCATTTTCAAGCTATCATGCATGTCGTATAACAGGCACAAATCCAAGATTTTTTTGTTTTATCGTTTTATTATTTGTTATCCGATAATTATTTTGTTCAATGTGTATTGTTTTCTCTGAAACTTGTGACATATAAAGTGTTTCCGGTGTGTATTTATAATCTACTCGAATTTATACTAACAACAAATATCACGTAATATAAGGACTACTTGAATTTTCAAGTACTTGATAGACAGACGTAAAAAATGCTTGACGTGATATCAGATTGCTTATATCTAATACTTGACTTGAGCTTGACTTGATTTCAAGTGAAGTCCAGTGGCTTAAAAATCATGTGAAGTAGGGAATTCCTAAGAAAAAGGTTTTTGAGAGCAGGTTGAAATTGAAATTTCTCAGACCATTATAGACTTCTACTATATGGGAGCAGAGTTTTTATATCCAATTGAGTCATACAAGGTAATAACAATTGTAACGCAAACAGGATCATTCCCTAGATTCTGCCACTTTTGTATAGTCTGTCACAGTGCATATGTATGTAAACTACTCATAACCATACACTTTCTGACAATTGCTGCCCGCTTATGTAAACATTTTAATAGTGAATCTGTTGAAATCCAGTTATATCAATTCATCCGTTCTAACTGAATATCGAAAAGTCCCTATGCAAAACAAATCACACA